AATGTGAAATATGGCCGTGTGAGATGAACTGAAGGTGGTCAGGACATCACACCACACCAGAGGGTGAAAGGTGCCTAGGGCCCCCCTGGGCCTGCACCCACTCCAGGCAGGGAGCAGCCTCTGCTCACAGACTTCACCCAGGAGGGAGTGGTCTGGACGGCTCCCGCCCTGCGGCTGTATGCCACGGCCCTGTGCAGGTAGGTTCCCCTCTGATCACAGACTTCACCCAGGAGGCTGTATGCCGAGGCCCTGTCCGAGTAGGCTCCTCTTACGGTGGCAGCAGGCACGGGGACCACCTCACTGCAAAGGGAGCAGGGAAGGAAGGTCTGCCACTTATTTCTGATGAGTAAAGTCAGGTGGCACTGAGTGTCAAAGAGAGGCTGTGGCAGCCCATGAGCTTAGAGAAGAAACGGCATTGGCCATTCCAAATCACCCCACTCACAGGACTGCAGGGCCTGAAGAGAAATGGCCAGCCCACGCTGACAGCACAAGCAGTTGCATGTCCGAAGAGGGGGTGCAGGCCCAGGCCTAACTATGCTGCCTTTCCCAGAGCAAATGCACACTGACCCCAGAAGTGACTCCAGAGTGCATGGGGCAGGCCAGGCACAGTGCTGCCTGCCTATGATCCCAGCCACTCGGGAGGCTGAGGCAGGTCTCCTCCTGGCAAGACTGAGGCCAGCCTGGACAACCTGTTGAGTCCCTACCTCAAAACAAGAGAGCTGAGGATGTGTCTCAGTGGCAATAATCCCTGAATTTGTTTGCCAGTCAACCCCCCAAAAACAAAGAGTGCAGAGGAGAAACATGCTAGAAAATAACGAAGCTTATTATCTTCCAAATAAGCAGCTCCCCCAGGAAGCTCAGCTGGTTCATATTTACATTTTGAAAAGGACTAGCTAGAGGACACTGGACACTCTGAGACGATTCTGATAGATAAATCAACATATCCAGCAACCAAAACAACTTTCAGATCACAGGTGACGACGGTCACAAATGGCTCCTTCTAGAAGCCCTTTTAGCTGGGATGCAACGAGGTGCTTCTGAAGTCCTGGGTCGGAATGCCCACCACCAGTCCCAGCACCCCAACGCAGAATGCACAAGCCCAAGTACATTCTCCTTGGTGCTGAGGACCCAGCCTGGAGCCAGCCTCCCTCTGTGCCCAGAGC